TTATTAAGTGTTCTTGCATAGCAAGACCACTTAATGTTATCTCACATATATATTATTATTATTATTATTGTGTGTGTATTATTATTATTATTATTATTATTATAGCAAAATTTGCCACCCTAACTCCTCCACAGTTTTTACACTACATAGACAAAAATTTACCAAAACGTGCAGATTGTTCCCGATCGGATTGCTATTACTTTGTGGAACGTTTCGCCGAATGGTTCACGGAATATCGTCGTTCTTGTGGCGAAATTTGTCCCATAGGAATGAATAGCAAAGCTAGAGTGGGAGCTGGCAAAAGCTGAAAAATCAGGACATGATTTCTAAACTGCCACCACTCCCTCATTTTCAAGCCCACCTACACAAATCTTATATCAAAACGTTCAGCTATCCCTGCTGCCACTAAACATGTAAGCGGCTAAGCCGTAGTCCTGATAGTTTTCACAATATGACCATTTGTTTGCAACCAACGCCGTCCATTGACATTCATTGAAACTTCACTCTGCAAAGCTCAAATTTGAAGTGCAATTTCTAAACTGCGACTGTGCCTTCATTTGTAATACTTCAGAGACATACTATGCATCGAAATGTAGGTCTGGGTCTTGTGATTCTCACAATATAAAGCTCTTTGCTGTAGGATTTATAGTTTGTAAAATACGACCATTTGAAGATGGCAACCACCAAAATACTCTGACCTGTCAAGGCTGCAGCAGCAAGTGATGTCATAAATAGGGCCTTTTGAACACCTGCTAATGTTTTTATAAATGTATGGTTTAATGTAACTGTGCAACAACGTTGCAATTGAATGTGCTATATAATTGATAACAGTTACTCGCCCACTCCAGTTGTAGACTACTGGTGGTGGCAAGAACACTTCACTACAATTTCCCCAGAAATTGTAGCTTTTTTCTAGTTAATGTTCTTATATATTATTATATTATTATAGCAAAATTTGCCACCCTAACTCCTCCCACAGTTTTTACACTACATAGACCAAAATTTACCAAAACGTGCAGATTGTTCCCGATCGGATTGCTATTACTTTGTGGAACGTTTCGCCGAATGGTTCACGGAATATCGTCGTTTTTGTGGCGCAATTTGTCCCATAGGAATGAATGGCAAAGCTAGAGTGGGAGCTGCCAAAAGCTGAAAAATCAGGACATGATTTCTAAACTGTCACCACTCCCTCATTTCCAAGCCCACCTACACAAATCTTATATCAAAACGTTCAGCTATCCCTCCTGCCACTAAACATGTCAACGGCTTAGCCATAGTCCTGATAGTTTTCACAATATAATAATTTGTTTGCAACTAACGCCGTCCATTGACTTTCATTGAAACTTCACTCTGCAAAGCTCAAATTTGAAGTGCAATTTCTAAACTGCGACTGTGCCATCAATTTTAATACTTCAGAGACATACTATGCATCAACATGTAGGTCTGGGTCTTGTGATTCTCACAATATAAAGCTCTTCGCTGTAGGATTTATAGTTTTTTTAAATATTACCGTTTGAAGATGGCAACCGCCAAAATACTCTGACCTGTCAAGGCTGCAGCAGCAAGTGATGTCATAGACAGGGCCTTTTGAACACCTGCTAATGTTTTTATAAATGTATGGTTTAATGTAACTGTGCAACAACCTTGCAATTAAATGTGCTATATAAATGATAACAGTTACTCCGCCCACTCCAGTTGTAGACTCTTGGTGGAGGCAAGAACACTTCACACAATTTCCCCTGAAATTGTAGCTTTTCTAGTTATTCTTATTCTTATTATAGCAAAATTTGCCACCCTAACTCCTCCCACAGTTTTTACACTACATAGACAAAAATTTACCAAAACGTGCAGATTGTTCCCGATCGGATTGCTATTACTTTGTGGAGCGTTTCACCGAATGGTTCACGGAATATCGTCGTTCTTGTGGCGAAATTTGTCCCATAGGAATGAATGGCAAAGCTAGAGTGGGAGCTGGCAAAAGCTGAAAAATCAGTACATGATTTCTAAACTGCCACCACTCCCTTATTTTCAGGCCCACCTACACAAATCTTATATCAAAACGTTCACCTATTCCTCCTGCCACTAAACATGTCAACGGCTAAGCCATAGTCCTGATAGTTTTCACAATATAATCATTTGTTTGCAACTAACGCCGTCCATTGACATTCATTGAAACTTCACTCTGCAAAGCTCAAATTTGAAGTGCAATTTCTAAACTGCGACTGTGCCTTCAATTTTAATACTTCAGAGACAGACTATGCATCAAAATGTAGGTCTGGGTCTTGTGATTCTCACAATATAAAGCTCTTCACTGTAGGAGTTATAGTTTTTAAGATACGACCGTTTGACGATGGCAACCACCAAAATACTCTGACCTGTGTCTAAATGTGCTATATAAATAAATAAAAGTTGAAATGCATTTCTCACTCTATCAAGCTTGCCATGTGCACTTTTTAAATTTGATCAATCAATTGGTTAGTGTAATGTTTACAATTTGTACACACTCCAAACACTCCACACAGTTACTCTGCCCACATTTACTAAGCCCACCTAGACAAATCGTATATCAAAACGTTCAGCTATCCCTGCTGCCACTAAACATGTCCACTGCTAAGCCATAGTTCTGCTAGTTTTCACAATACGACCATTTGTTTGCACCTCACGCCGTCCATTGACATTCATTGAAACTAAACCGCGACTGGGCCTTCACTTTTATTATTTCAGAGACATACTATGCATCAAAATGTAGGTCTGGGTCTTGTGATTCTAACAATATAAAGCTCTTCGCTGATTGATTTACAGGTATTACAATACGACTGTTTAAAGAATGAAAAGTAATCAGGAGAGGCAAAATACCCTGACCTGTGCCAGGCTGGAGCAGCAAAGAAAGAGGAAGTGATGTCATAGACAGGGCCTTTTGTACACCTACTGACTTTTTCCAGGTTGGTTGTTGTGTTTCTATGCTGCTGGAGATTTGCAGTAAAGAGAGTTATGCAAATATGAAGCCTCCTGTCATGTGGTAAAATTAGAGCTCTGTGAATATCATCATGCCATCTAAAGGAAAGAGATCTAAAGCTGCAAAGATACGCTGGACTAAACTGGACCTTTCAGACCCATGTTTTCGGGATCAGGAGTCCCACAGCAGAATAGTGGAAATGGAGGTTTGTGAAAGTGAATGTGCCCAGGAGGTACATAGTGAACCTGTGGTGTCATTCCCATGTTCATCTAAGTGTCAAGTTCAAGAGCACAGTGACAGTGTGATGGGCACATCTGAAAACCATGGCATGCAAGAACCATGTGTACCAAGTGAGATATCTGTGCAGGCATCATTTCATCAGGGTCATCATGGCTATGGAAGGTTAAGGAACAAACAGTGTACATGCATGGCTCTGACATTTTTGGCATACCACAGTGAGCTTGATGATGTGAGGAAGGATGATCTTGATCAAATACTGAAGACGGGCAACAGCTTGTATGGCACAACAATACAACAGCTAAAACGAAGAAATGTCTATCAGCACCAACACCTGACAATGGAAGAAGTGCCCCTCAGAGTCAACACTGAAAAATATGAGTATAACGTTGTTAAATCTCCAGTGTTATCGGGATGTGTGAGAGCCACGGTAGACAGTGACAACCAAGGATGGTTTGTTGACCTCTCCACAAGACTACAGTGCCTCAATGCAGATGTTACACATGCACTTTGTATAGTAGTGCCATATTGCATTGCATTGTTCAGAGACAAGTCTGGGAGATATGGACTGTTTGATTCTCATAGTCGAAATAAGGATGGACTTCCTGCCACTGGAAAAGGAAAAGCTGTTATGATCACCTTTACACATTTGAGTGATATGGGGGCAAGGATTTATAAGTTGTATGAATTGCTCCTTACAGACAACAGAGGCCCTATTGATGGACTGCAGTATGACTTCATGCCAGTCTCATTTCAGTGTGCAAGACGTCTGTCAGATGGTTTGATGTCCCCACCGGTGCAATCTGACAAACCACATAATGGAAAGCATGTGGAGAGCAAAGTGACACAGATGACCAAAGATGCAACACACACTGGATTCCCAGCCAGCAAGCATTCTCCACGGTCACTTGATGCAAAATCCTCACAGGGCATATGGAAGGACAGTAAGGCATTGTCCAAATTAAATGCACAGCAACAACAAAAACTGAAGACAAGACACAGAAATGAAAGAAGGCGTGGTTTCAAGGCTACAAAGATGTCTGTCACCAATAAGAGGAGGACATACATCACTAGCCGATACAGAGCAGATGCTGATTTTAAGTGGAAGCAGAAGCAATATATCATTCGCAAATATGCGACAGATGCCAATTTCAACTTGAAGCAGAAGCAATACATAACCAGCAAATATGCGACAGATGCCAATTTTAACTTGAAGCAGAAGCAATACATCACCAGAAAATATGCGACAAATGACGATTTCAAATTGAAGCAGAAGCAATACATCACCAGAAAATATGCGACAAATGACGATTTCAAATTGAAGCAGAAGCAATACATCACCAGAAAATATGAGACAAATGCCGATTTCAACTTGAAGCAAAAGCAATACATCACCAGAAAATATCATAATGATCCTGCTTTCAGAAAACGACACTTGCAACATTGCATGAGTTACATGAAAATGAAGCGTCACACTCAGGCAGAATTTCGCATAACCCATAAGATGCAATGTGCCTTCAAAATAAGAATGAAATATAGACGATGGACTCATGTCATGCGGGAATGCAGTCAACCAGTGGAAAACAGCCTAATGCAGACAGCTATATCCACTTTCCATGAATGCATTAAAGCTGGGCCAACTTTTGTGTGCACGATGTGTCATCGCACCCTTTTCCCTAACCAAGTGAAACACTGCATTCACAGCAATTACAAGAAGAATCTACACATTGTTGCTGCCTGTTTGACAGGGAAATATGTCCATGTGTGCAACAATCACTGTCAAGGCCCTGAACAATGCACCGTACCAGATGAAAGGACCAAAGAATGGATTTGTCACAACTGTGATTCACATTTAAAAGCAGGACACATATCATCCATCGCTGTGGCTAACAACATGGAGCTGGCGCCCATTCCCCCAGAGCTTTGCGATTTGAATGTGCTAGAAAGACAACTTTTGGCCAAAATACTGCCATTTGCCAAGATCATCACACTCCCCAAAGGTCGACAGGCAGCTATACATGGCGCTGTAGTGTGTGTGCCATCCGAGGTGGAAACCACGGTCAATACTCTACCAAGATCGCACAGCACATCCCAGTTACACAGAGTGAAGCTGAAAAGACGTCTGACTTACAAAGGCCACCAGCTGTTTCACAATGTCAACATGAGAAATGTAGTAGCAGGTCTGTCAAAACTCATTGACACACACCCCGACTACAGTGACATTTCAATCAGAGTGGATGAGACAATCACTGCTGATGATGATGATGATGGGATGGAACCTGACAGTTGTGATGAAACTGAAATGATGGAGATACTTGAACGCATCGAAAATTGTGATCCATCAGAGGTACAGTCTGCATGTTTACTGGCTGCTTCTGAGCAACAGGAAGGCCATGACCAACAACCTCCCAATGCAGAGGATGAGAAGGATTCACTAAGACCTGGAATTGGCCTAGACAGTTGTTTGCAGCCATCTGACCTTGGAGAGGAAGCACTGACACACGGTGATGGAATATTCAGCATTGCACCTGCACAAGGAAACACACCTGTCAGCTTCTTTAAAGTTCCTAGGCTTGAGGCAATGGCTTTCCCTGTTCAGTTTCCTACTGGACAGAATACATTGGACCAGGCAAGACAAGTCAAACTGTCCCCGAGCATGTATTTCAATGCAAGGCTTTTTTGTGTTGATACTCGTTTTGCAAGAGACACAAGCTACCTCTTCTTTGCACAGTTTGTCACAGAAACACACATGGCCAAAAGCAGCATGTCCATCCAGTTAAGGAAAGGAAAACCCAATACCAGGGATGGACAGAAAATATCCAACAAGCTGCTACAGGACAAGCGTGAGGTTGAGAGGATGGTGCGAAACCGAGATGCCACAAGGTTCATGCAACCACTGAGAGGGAGTCCAGCGTATTGGGATAAAAATCTGAAGAATTTGCTAGCCATGGTCAGACAATTGGGTAAGCCAACATTTTTTCTTACCTTCTCTGCTGCAGAATTCAGATGGCCAGAGGTAATAACGGCAATAAAGGCGCAACAAGGTCAAAAGGTGGATTTTGCAGAGCTAGACTGGGCTGAAAAGTGTGACATTCTTCGAGGCAACCCAGTGACCACCATGCGCATGTTTGACAAACGGGTTGATGCTCTGATGCGAGAGCTGCTGTTGGGTCCTGCACAGCCAATCGGTGAAGTTATCGATTACTTTTACCGGGTTGAATTTCAGGCGAGAGGGAGCCCTCATATACATTGTCTCTGTTGGGTAGCAGGAGCTCCTATATTTGGACAAGACAGTGATGACCAGGTGTGTGCCTTTATAGATCATAACATCTCATGCCAGCTGCCTGATGAAGCCAAACAGGCCTTACTTCACAGATTAGTAACAGAACTTCAAATGCACAGCAGATCACATTCAAAATCGTGCAAAAAAGGTAACAGAGTATGCAGATTTGGATTTCCAAAGCCACCTATTAGACAAACGAGGATAACTTACCCGATTCCAGAAGAACAAGGAGATTGTGCAATGGAACCACAAGCAGCCAAAAACAAACTGAAACCAGTCTGGGATTTGCTTAATAACCCGAAAGTGCAGCTTGACATGTCACAGCTACTGGCACAGTGTGATATGACTTTGAATCAGTACAACTCTTACATTGAGGCATTGACCTCCTCAAGCGTGATTGTAATGAAGCGTGATGTCAAGGACTGCTGGGTGAACAACTACAATCCACATTTGCTGACAGCCTGGAACGCCAACATGGACATCCAGTACATTCTTGATGAGTATGGTTGCATCATGTACATGTTGTCCTACATATCCAAGCCAGAACGCGAGCTGAGTGACTATCTCAAAACAATAGTCAAAGAAATGAGCCCAGAAACAGAGACAGAACGAGAAGAAATGAAAGAAGTTCTTCAGGCTTATTCAAAACACAGAGAGGTCAGTGCCCAGGAGTCTGTGGCCCGTACGTGCAGCCTGAAAATGAAGTCTTGCTCACGTGAGGTTGTTTTTCTGCCAACTGGTGACAACGCACTGAAAATGAGTCTCCCGCTCAGTGCGTTGCAGAACAAACCAGCTGATTCTCTTAATGTGTGGATGACGAGTTTTGTCGACAAATACAGAGCCAGACCCGAAACACCTGAGTTTGAGTCCATGTGTCTGGCAGACTTTGCATCCCATTACAGGGTTGTCTATGGCAAGCAGAAGGAGGATGGCAAGCAAAAGGAAGACTGCGAGCGTGTCAGCCTTTTGAATGAAATGGGATTGATTCAAAAACGCACAAGAGGGAAGCCTGCAATCATCAGGTACGCACGCTTCTCAGAGAAGAAGGACCCAGAGAACTACTACGGCAGACTGCTTAAACTCTACCTCCCCCACCGTTCAGAGTCATCACTGAAAACTGTAAGGTTCCCAACACACCAGGAGTTTTACAAAGGCGCCTGTGTGAGCTTACCAGGAGAAGAAGCAATCCGAGCAGTGTCTGCAATTGTTACCAGCAACCAAAAGAAGTTCGAACAACACAACAAAATTGTGGAACAAGTCTTGGATGACTTTGTAAAAAACGGCCCTGTTGAAGATGCTTGGAACACCTTTGCCCCAGAAGTTGAGTTAGATAGGTTGGAATGTATAGAGGAACGCAAAAAAGGGGAGCCACTTCATGAGAATGAACAAGATGATGTTCCGGAGTATACACGTCACAAACAAACAGGTGGAATTGCGCTTACTGTGAAGGCCCCACAAATGTGCCCTGATGTACTTCGGAAAATGTACAGAAACCTTAACCGGACACAAGCTCAGACATTCTACTCAGTTTGTGACTGGTGCACTAACCGTGTGCGTGGCCTAAATCCTGACCCTTTCTATTACTTTGTCACTGGTGGTGCAGGAACAGGCAAATCACACCTGATAAAGTGCATCTATGCTGAGGCGACAAAGATACTCTGTAAACTTACCAGACTACGTGAGGAAGCAGACATATCCATGCCCAGCGTTTTACTAACTGCATTTACAGGAACAGCAGCTTTCAACATTTCAGGCAACACTTTGCATTCTCTGCTGAGGTTGCCAAGAAGCTTGAAGCCACCCTACCAAGGACTTGGGAATCTCATAGATGAAGTGAGGGCACAGCTGTCAAATGCGGAGATCATTGTTATTGACGAGGTGTCAATGATTTCAAAGCCCCTGTTTACCTACATCAACTGGAGATTACAGCAAATCAAAGGCAGTAAGAAACCGTTTGGTGGTATGTCAGTACTAGCAGTAGGAGACTTTTACCAGGTCCCCCCGCTGGGAAAAAGTAAGCCACTCTGCGTGTTTGAGGAAAATACCAATGACGTCTGGAAGGACTACTTTCAGATGATCACGCTGACAGAGATCATGCGACAGAAGGATGACATTTCATTTGCTGAGCTTTTGAATAGAATCAGAGTCAAGCAGAAGACTGGCGCCTTAAGCAATGATGACAAAGCTCTGCTTGCTCAGGCTTTGACAGATCCCACCCACTGCCCTAACGACGTGCTGCACATCTTTGCCACCAACAAAGAGGTTCACAAATATAATGCCGCAACTGTGTCTGTTCTCCATTCAAATGTCACCAACATAAATGCCGATGATTACAGAAAAGACCCTAAAACAGGAGTGATGCAGAGGCAACACCAACCTTTCAAAGGACACAAAGACAATCTGATTGACACACTGCAAGCAGCTGAAGGTGCCCGTATCATGATCACAAGAAACATTGATGTTGAAGACGGGCTTGTTAATGGGACATTTGGCAAGATTGCAAGAATAATCATCCAGACTGAGAATGGTGCTACTACGGTAAACAAGCTTGGGCTTGTGCTGGACAATCCAAATGCAGGACAGAGATACCGTAACAAGTCGTCTTGTGATGCTGACCACTTGGTGTACATAGAAAGGGTAGAGGAAAACCTGAGACAGAAAGGAGTTGTTCGCAGGCAGTTCCCCCTGAAGTTGGCCTTTGCATGCACGATTCATAAGTGTCAGGGGATGTCGATACAGTCGGCAGTGGTCTCATTGAAACGGGTCTTCCAACCGGGAATGGCCTATGTTGCTCTGAGTAGAACGACTACACTACAAGGACTGCACATAACCGACTTTGATGAGAAGAAGATCTTTGCTGATCCTGAAATCACAGCCTCCCTGGACTCAATGAAGAATGCATCGCTGGAAAGTGTTATGCCCCTCTTACAGTTTTTACAGACAACAGGCAAACAGCAAACATTAACAATTATCCATCACAACACGGAAGGATTACCAGCTCACATTGAAGATATTAAATCCCATCACGAGTTGACACTTGGAGATGTTTTATGTTTCACTGAAACACATCTCTCAGGCTTTTCTGTTGCTGAAGGTCTCCAGCTGGAGGGCTACAACCTGTTCAAACGCAACAGACACCTCTCGTACACGAATCGTCCTGACATTGCAAGTAAAGGTGGCGGAGGTGTAGCCTTGTATGTCAGAAACCAGTTCAAGGCCTTTGAAAAGCAGTATCATCACAATGTGACTGACTTGGAGTTCTTGGTTGTCAAGCTGGAGTCCCCTATCCAAGCTTTGATCGCCGTTGTTTACAGGCCACCTGATTACAGTATTGGCCAATTCCTTACTAACCTGCTGGGCCTCTTAGAATCTTTGGAAAGAATGGATTGCCAACCTATAATCCTTTGTGGAGATTTCAATGAAGATTTTCTGTGCAGAGCAAAGAAGCCAATATCTGACCTTCTTCACTCAAGAGGATATACCCAACTGGTTTGGGCAGCCACCACAGAAGGAAACACACTGTTGGATCACATTTACATCTCCAGGGTGCAGCACTGTCTCCAGTCAGGAGTACTGCACAGTTATTACAGCTATCATGATCCCGTGTATTGTGTTTTGAGCAGTGGTTGTGAACACGCTTAGAGCATTCATAAACAGGGCATGAGTGTTGCCAGGAAACAGTGGTTGTAAGCACTGATTATCATCAAACAGATACCATCACCTCCATT